AACCCTAAAACTATTGTAAAACCCTTTTTTTCGTTACTTTGTATATTTTATCCGAGCGTCTCTAAACTTGGCGGCGTTTATTTTGAAAACTGGATAATCCGGAAACAATTGAATTTGGGTACATTATGCTTCTTAAACATTTTGATTAACATTAAGAGAAGAATTGAAATATCGAATAATATTCAGGGTGTTCCATTAGAAAAAATACAATTTTGGTGTGCCAACCCTGTATAATTAACATTATTACTGCCTAGTAGACATTGAAGAACCCCAAAACTCTTGTATATCTTCCTCGATAATCGACCGTTGCCAGACTTATCAGCGCCCCGCGGGAATATTCGCTACATTACCTACTATTTCAAAGTTTTTACTTATACCTTTTAGGTATATGCTTTATATTTTCGAAAGTGGACGTAGGTACCTATCCTTATGCAAATCAAAATTATACTGTCTCTTGTAAACAACAAAAGCAATCGAAAGAAAAGCGTAATTAAAGCAGATAGAGATTGATTGTTGTTGTTTACGTTCAGTTTATTTACCGAGGGTTAACAAGAATTAAAATAAATGGTTTTCTCGTTTTCAAATCCAGCCATTTTATTTAATGCAAACCTGAATTTTATCATGAATCTTAAGAATAATTGAATGTATTCCGCGGAAATATCCTATTTTCCCCCAAAACTACTTGTCTGCACTGGAAATACCTATACTCCATTGGGCGAAGACTATAATCCTTTCACGCGCTTTTATCCCGCACTGATGCGAGTTTTGCTACTTTTCTTTGCACTGTTCAATTAAGTAGAGTAACTATTGCCAAACTTCTAAACTTCTTACTTCTTTCTAGGAATATCGGCCCAAAAACTTGATTCCCAAAAATACCCGCTCAAACATTACTTTTCTGTGAGGATTGGGTGCGATCTCAAAACTCACAAAATCACAATTACAAATCCTTTCAGAGTAGGTACATTCGTCCGTAAGCAAATATCTTTGGATCTTCATCAATTCATGAGAACATTCATTCGCAATAGTCGCCTAATTGTTGTAAAACTTGTGCTTTTAATCTCACTTTGGCCGACTAGCTGGCTGGCTGGCTGGCAGCAAATGAGGGTTTGTAGAAAGACGAGGAGTGTACGTGTACCTGCCGGGCGGTGTAATCAACAGCTTTAAAGACGGGGTTACAAATGTGGGGCGGCGACATCTGAGCACCATTCTCGAGCGTGGTTTACTAACGTGGTGATTTTTCCATTAGGAGCTCGAGCTATGGAAAGTGTCCCAAAAATTGAGTACTATTTTAAGGAGAGTTGTTTTTAGCGAAATCCACCAAAATATGACGTGGGGGCATAAGCCGTAATAAATAAGTATATTTGATAAACTTAGTTTGCGACATTTTTTAATATATCTGGCTAATAGAGAATACCGATCTGCCACACAAAAATGCTTCCCTTCGATCTCACACGAGGACTTTGAATGTATGGTACTTATCCATATTTCACATTACAACCGGGCGGCGGTTCGTTTTGAAATCAAAGCCCGATATGTATCCGACGTGTTAGAAGTCAAATAGCAGATGGTGCACCAAATGATATGCTATCTGGATACCTGTAAACCCTTCAAATAACAAGTACGTACTTGACGTGAGTGGGTACATTGCTGACGACAAGGGTCGAGCTTTTTAAATAAAATACCTTCTTCCCAGTATACTTACATTATCTGAAATTGATGTCATGCCCAGACACAACTTGGAGCCTATTTCCTATTCCCACAGACAACACAGTATATGTGTACTATTACTTTGGTGGAAGGAAAATAAAGAGTGCCTATGTATGCCAGCAAAGCTAGTATTATCTTTGATACTACGAATCTCCCTTAAAGTTTTTTATCCTTTCGAAAAGCATGATGCTTTATCTTCTAGATACAAAATTAATACGTTGGAATTAAAAAATTTCCCGACCTTAGTTCATCTAGGTACATAAGCGTTTTGATTTCCGGCTCCGAAAACAAATTTTATTCACTACCACAAATCACAGACAGAAACCAATTTTATCTGAAAGATCTTTCTTGCGAACTAAAACTACTTGCTTTTTTTAAAACAGGACTCAAACTGTAAAGTGCGTTGAAACACTTTCGCCGCTCAAAAATGCGAAACAATTACGAATTTCCTTTTATGGACCTAACTGGTCGCCTCGATTGCTATACCGCGAATCCTATTAATTTTTTTTCCGACTAATCCCACCTATTTTTTGTTAATGAGTACCGCCTCTTGTTTATATAACGTGTAATAATTAAGTCTACCATGAGGAAATCTTATGGGAGATCCCTTCGAAATGAATGCCGCACTTAAGCAACCCACGTACCAATTTTTTCTTAGTTCTTATGATGCAAAGAATGATCTGTCTATGCATTTGCAGGTGTAACTAAATTAAGATAAAATATAATAAAAAGGTCAAACAAATTTCCGAAACCCATTAAGAAACAAAGCCGCATAGAAATTAAACGACGTTACGACGCACGAATTTATTCTTTACTCAAACCAAAACATTTCTAAAATTCCCATTTTACCTATTTCTGTGAAAAGATCTAAAATGTAAATCTAAACTTAGACCTACCGTTAGTAGGTTAAAGCTGGTGAAACGTAAGTTGCCGTTATTAGTGTACGGATTTCGTTGAAAAACGAACAAACATCAATGGATATTAAAATAACAACCCTTGTTCCAGTGTACTTTAAAAACTAGGTATGCATCGTAGAAAGGTTATTTTACAATTGCGAGAACATAGAAATTTCTTGGAGACGAATACTCCGAGGTCGATTTTTGGTAAGGGTATGAGAGGAGGTTCAAGAGATGGAGTTTCCTGATCGTGAATTTTAGTTTAGTTTAACACTGCGGGGTTAAAAAATTTTTTCAGTAAATAAATTCGTAATGAGCGAATATTCCGTCGAAGGGGAGCTTTCCTTAAAAAAATGGGGATCCGTTTTAGCGAGCTTTTGAAAAAAAGGAGCGCTTATACAGGGTGTTCCTTAAAGACATGCTAATATTTAAGGGGGTGATTCTTGGACCCATTTTTAGAAAAAAAACTTCCTAGGAACATATGTCCCAAACGTTTTAATTGTTGAGATACAGGGTGGTAAAGTTTTAAAAAAAATCAGTTTTTTAATACTAACAGAGATAGTAAAAATAATCGTTTATTTAAAACGATTTCTATTTTTTTAAGCGAAAACCATGCGTCGGACAAAGAAAAACTAGAACAAATTGGCTCAAAAATGAATGAGGATTTAAAAAATAATTCAGAATATTCAATGCAAAAGCCGTACGGACGTCACTGGTAGAAAAAATAAAAACTTATGCACATCAGAAAATGCATCTTGATGCATAGAAGACAATATGTACAAAATTTCATAAATCTAGTTGGCTGTTATTATTAAAAAACTGATTTTTTTTAAACTTTACCACCCTGTATCTCAAAAATTAAAACGGTTAGGATATACGTATATAGGAAGTTTTTTTTCTTAAAATGGATCCAAGAATCACCCCTTTAAATGTTAGAATGTCTTTAAACAACACCCTGTATATTCATTTTGGCTGTCGGTCAGTCGGTCGGTCGGTCGATCCGCTGCAAAGCCTATTTAAGTATAACTCTAATATATACTATAACTATAACTAAAGGATTCATCGTAGAATGCTAGGGTTTGAAACATTAGCCTTGTGACACAATTCTTTGCACAAAAACGCGCTTAAGTAGCTTGACCCATCGAGTACTTTCCAACTTGTTTTGTGAGAGAATGTGGAGGGGAGGATTTGCACAATGTTAATTCTTCCCGGCAAAATTCCCCTTCCGAACATCACCATCCCTTTGATTTCGATGGTTTCTAGCGTATTTTTGTAAATTTATTTGTAAAAAGGTAGCTTTTAAAGTCACGACTGGCTGACTACTTGGTAGCAAATGCGGGCCCATAGAAGAACGCTTGTAGAATGACGAGAGTACCTACCAGGGCGGTGTAATTAACAACTTTAGAGGCGGGGCTACATGATGTAAGGTCGGCGACATCTGGGCGCCATCCTCGAGCGTGTTATAGTATCTTGGAGATTTTTCAGTTTTTTCTTATCGTCTTCTACAGTTTTGGTTCAATTTTTTTCAAATTAGTGTCGTCGGAAAGAGCTCCTGCGTAACGGTATTTTGTTTTTCTTCCTAAGGGTGAAATTAACCATCTTTTGCAAGGTGCGCGAGTTCGAGGAGTAGTCGACTTTGAACTCCCAAAAGTTTCTCAGAGCTCTACTCGCGGCCTCTCCTTCTCGTGTCACCAATAAAAGCTCGAATTATGAGAAGTTCCTCAAAAATTGAGTACTATTTTGTGGGGGCTTTTTAGCGAATTTCACCAATATGCGAATTGTGAGTGAACGGGGTGTCGGAACTGATGGTGGAGTTAAACATGTTACATTTGATGATGGGTGTAATTAAACGAAAGCTTTGAATAATATCATTGAATAATAAATCTGAATAATATTCAAAGACGAAAGTTAATGGGTATTTGCATGTAGGTAATTGACCTTTGAAATACACGGCGAAAACATGTCAACTGACTAACCGAAGGCATTAAATTATAGGAGCTACGAAGTTCATTAAATCACAAAATACGAACCATTTTTTCTGACAATTATATAGATTCAAAATGAGTGTTGAATTTTTGGTAAAACGACGGGTAACTATTTTTTAATTAGTCCAGTGAAATAGAAAGAATAAAGGATTCATATTTGTAGTGTACTTTTTGTGCTTAGCTCCAAAAATGACAAACAATTTTTTTTTCATTTAGAACGCACTCTCGTCGATAATCAAGCACTTCTTAGTAATGGTATAAATGCAACAGAGCTGAAAAGTCAAACTTTTTGACTCCCTAAGTTACTTCGATAGTAATAATAGAATAAATCTTACCTATAAATTAAAAATTAGCGTGGAATTTTGCAAGTATTTTGTAAGTGTTCATATTCCAAAATGCAAAAGTTACGTACCATTCCCTTATAGAGATATCCTAACTCCTTCGCTAAGCTTTGGGCAAACTTCGGTCCTCCAACAATCCTAACAACAATTTCATTCAAATGCGTTTCTCCGGTGCTATCCAGAACCAGCGCAAATAGGAGAAGCACTAAAATGGGTAAACGACACATATTGTACCTACTAACTGCACTTCGAGTGTTAAAATAACAATAAATCTAACTATTGAGAGAATGTGCTATTAATTGGAATCCCCCTCCAATTCATACGCAGAAAAACAACCCATTTTATCGTAAAGCTTTACAGGATAAGGGAGATAAAGATAAACTTTAGATTACATTTTGTTGCCCCTCGGACGCTTTTCACCTATCACAGACACGTTATTCGACGAAGATTTTCGCTTTAAATTAAGATAAATTAGCGGAATTTCATTTTTGTTAGAGACAGCCGCAGCAAATTGAAAACGTGTCAAGCTTAATTACAGTCTGATTAAGGGATTAGTACACTTTTATTTTCGATAATAATTACGACACTTTGCTAACACAAATATAGTTTCATTTAGAAAAATAACAAACTCATCCGTCATGTCATTGTTTCTCTACCAAAATGTTCATAATAATAAACTACACGTAGACAGAAGCTTCCAATGAAAATAGTTTCACGAGATATCTCAAAAATCAATGAGCATATTAAATTCGTCTTTTAAAGGTATGCATACTCACCCCGCTAGTTTCGGAGATCCCCATCGGAAGAAACTCGCACCACGCCCTAGCGTGCTGTTTCCGACCCGCAAGTGCAGAAACGAAAAACTGGGTTTTGGTCGCCGTTCGGTACAAACACGAATATCTCGCAAAGTACCATCTTCTTCTAGATCTGCAACCTGTACATTAAAAAAAAGTAATGATAGTAACCCAAAATGCCATAAAGAGACAAACTTCCAATCAGACCAAATTAATTGGTAGGTAATTTAAAACGTTGATGAAAACTTTTATATTCTTTTTGTGAGTACCAAAACTGGCGAATATTATTGTTAGAATACAATATCATATAGTAGAGGATTTTGTGATTTACTCGATCCCGTAATAAAGTAAGGTGGGTTGACTAGGTGTTGAAAAGTGTGTATTTTAATAATCTGACGATTTGAGCGTGACGTGAGGAAGTGGGAGGTGGCAAACTTGCAAAGAAACGATACCTGGACATTCTCGAGCGCGTTGGATTTTTTTATTTCGAAGGTAGATAATCTGCCGACTTCCACACGCCAAAGTGGAAGAAATCGTCAATAAAATTCACTGAAATGGCGCGCTCGAATAAACCCGTTGTCTGCCCTTCCATAGAGTCTGCCCCACCATGCAAACCTACTAATAACGACGTTGATTAAAAAAACAATAGAATATGGTGAATCTTGTCTAGTCAAATAATAATTTTTTTTCACTACTAGCGTCTGATGACATGGTTATTAACCTTTTTTCCACTTGTAAAGTAGGCTTTCTCGGCATTTGTTCAAAGTGGTTAATAATGTGGACATTATTAACTAGTAGGTAGTCAATAATGATAACTGTCACGCTGTCACTTTTAGAAAACACAACCCGAAATTTCGCTCAATAAACGTTTAGACAAGTTCTTTAAAATGAATAATTGCCACCATTCGTCATTTCCACAGAAATTACATACTTAAAATCGAGCTTAAAATTATCACATTTTGAAAAAATTCGAACGAAATTACTCTTTGAAAATATCTCAATGACAGAACAAAATACGGCCTGTTTGACTTGTACTTCTACGTACTTGATTGACATGTTAAATTAAGAAACAAACAATTCTGTCCAACCGTTCACTTTCTTATCAATATAATATGTTAATTTAGAGGATTTCAAGTGCTAGTAGTGAAAAAAATAGTATATATACCACGGTAGAGAAGTCTATTATTGCCTTCGCACCTTACACCCCTCGGCGCAAGCGCCTCGAGATGTAATCTTGGTGCTCAGGTAATAATACTGGACTTCTCTACCTTGATATATAATGTACTATTACCCAAAATCGTCCTGAAACCTTCATTTTCATGCCTACTTTCTGTCAGGAAATTTTAGTCTCCATGACAGAGGCAGAGCAGACTACGTTTTCTGCCGCTTGTCACTTTACTGGCCGCACCTGTCACTTTACTGGCCGCACCTGTCACTTTACCGGTCGCACCGTCACTTTACCGGCCGCATTTTCGACATTTCCAAATGTATATAATGACTCCTGTCATCACTGACAGATTGACATTAACCAAAAGTTCCATATAAAAGTTGAAATTTTGTATTACATCTTACAAGACGATTTCGGGTAAAATTTAATACAAAACTCATCAGTAAAATGTCATTACCTGATCTCCTCGCCAGTAATGTATCATTTTCCTGACTTTTAGGTAAATAACTATGAATGCTTTCTGTAAGAAACTTCATACCAATTACATTTTACTAACTCTGCATGAGTATTGTAACAGGTTAAGGGCCCAGGCCGTTTTTAACTGCACACGTGTAATCTGTCGTGTCGTGTGAGCGCGAAAGCGTGGAAATTTATTTGCATCGCTTGTCATAAAAGGAAAGAGGACGGGAAATGGATTTCAAAACACATGTTAATTGGTCACAATGGAGGCGACAGATTGAATTGTTCATCATGAGGTGCTTGGTGTGGCAGATGGTACTTTTACTGAGCCCGTTGCACCAGAAGCAGGAGCTTTAGCTCAGAGTATAATATATTCATATAGAGGGTGGTGCCTTGCCTAACCCATCATAGGGATTTCAATGTAAAGGTCATAACATGCGATTATTATTGGCTCCCCAAATTATTTTAGAGCAAAAATGTATTAAGGTTTTTTGTAGAAAAAAATTTTTTACGTCAATCAAACGTATTAGTTTTCAATTTTTTGCATAATAAAGACGGAAAATTGGAATAATAAAACCGCCATCTTTTGCAATAATCTGTGATGCCATGGAACTTTATAATACAAAAACTACGCCAATATCCGTCATGCCATGGAATGTCTGCTATAAAACAAATCAAATTCTATCATAAAGTATTATACATTGCGATCAAAAATGAGTGACCGTCGAGTCACCTTTGGAATTTTTGTTTACATGGGAAATCGTACTTAACTTCAACTTTCAAAGGCGACTCGACAGTCACTCATTTTTGATCGCCCGATATTTAGAACAGCGAATTCAACATAAAGAAAGACCAAATTACTAAAAACGCTTTCCTAATATAACAATTTACAATAATAATCGTCTCATGATATACGAATTAGTTCATTTTCAGGTGTATTTCTCACTATTTTATCAAAAATCAGCAATAAATCCACTTACCAAAATCATGTTAAGCCATGACAAGCAAGACAAAAAGCAGATTCAAACGTCGAAATCAGTATCAGTTTATGACAATTGGCATTAATTTTTTTGGAAAATGCGGTTCACTGAGGAAATAGTTATTTGTACAACTAGTTTTGAAAGTGATAGGTACTTTTTTTCATGAATTTGCAGTTTGATTAATGAGAGCGAAGCCCGAGTTAATCAAGCAAATTTTTCCATAGTGATCCATAATAACCCACATTGACATTCGCGATTTACTGTCGCTCAAAAATGGATGCTATTGTTCATAGACAGGACTAAACTCCATGGAAACGCCTAGTAAAAATCGTGAAAAAAGTACCACTTTCCATACGATTTTTCGTTAAAAAATGTCCGATAATTTCATCACTATGTAAAAAATAAACTAATTCGTATATCATTAGATGAGAAAAAAAATCTTCTTTTGATTGGTGTCATTAAAAACTCTCTAAGTTAACATGGCGGGGAGCAACGATCTGCAGAAAAAACGTTTTTCCCATGTTAATTGCCTATGTTCGGTTTTAAAATATTCACCCGGTATAGAAGGTAGGAAAATTAGAAGCAACAAACATAAACTCTAAAGTAAAATTAATTGTTACAGAACCATAATCGATTTACGGGACAAATACTGCTAGATTATCGTGAGAAAAACTAACTGAGTTCAGGTAACGAGTGGCCACAGGTTGATGGAAAAATTTTTTACATCTGAAAAGGATCCTTCGGAAAACATCACAGCCCACATACCTCAATTGCAGAGTAATTTCAGTGAATTAAATGATGCACTTAGGAAATTAGTGAAAATTGGATTACCTGATTTGCTCTTAATGAGTCGTGTAATGTCTACGTTGCCCCCTGACTACGTCGAGATTAAGTGCGTGTGGGAGTCGGTTCCTCTAGTGGATTGTACCATTGAATAATAATAAATCAGAATCTTTATTCAATGATTGTATTTGTATACGTTAAATGAACTTTCAGAAAGGCTTCGACTTATCGAAATGAGGTTACCCGAAAAGAAAAACGAGTCTACGGCATTAGTTTTTAGATCCCGAATTAACAAACATAGTGGAAATCGTGGTAGAAATGAAAAGTGGCAACAGAGAACTGTGTTTCAAGTGCAATAAGGTTGACCATTTTGCCAAAAATTGTCCAAGAAAGTTTACAGGAAACCTTTCAGATTTAGTACGGGATCTGGTTACCATAAAATCTACAATAAATTGTTGGTGATGCGTTCGTTGGAGCTTCTGGTTCGTTCGACCGCGGAATGGAGTGGTCCAGGCAATCCTATACTTATAAAGCATCCTTGACCAGATATATAAGATGCCCTTATAACGGGCGATCAAAAATGAGTTGCTGTCGAGTCGCCTTTGGAAGTTCAAGTTAAGATTTCCCATGTAAACAAAAACTCCAAAGGTGACTCGATCACTCGACAGCAGGCAAGTTCTGCCACATGGCTGGAATAATCGCCCAACCCTCTTCTTTGTAACATATACTGGACTTATTCTCCTATACAAAGTGGTACCATTGAATAAAAAATTAATTTATTCAATGGTGGTACCTACCTAATCATTTGCCAATAAAAGAAAAGGCAAATGTCCATTTCCTTTAATTCTGACAATGTCGTCCAGTCGATCACATTGGTGAGCAATATAGGTAGGGTTCACGTAGAGTTTGATTAGTGTGGGTCGTCGAAATTCCACTTGCCATCAGGGTTGTTCGAATTTTCTTAGTTCCACCGTTGAGTGAAAAATTAAGGAATTCTGACTTCGTTATTCAATGGTTCCACTATTATTCCTTTGCCTATCGTGCGAAAGCAAACTACAGCTTGGGAACATATGCTGACAGTAGATCGCTGAGGTGAGGGATTTCATCATTCATGACAGAAAACTCGTTGAGTACATACAAGATGGTCAATGTAACGGAAAGGGCTGTAACTTTTGATCTAGTAGCCCAATCTTGGAACTGTTTGAAATTATGGATTCTACAGGTCACATTCTATAAGAAATTTTTTTTCCGGGTCGATCTGAGACAATTTTTTTTGCGGGCCTCAAAAAAAGGCAGTGTATAACCTTCCTTTTTTACCAAAAATTGACTACACCAAAATTTCTCGGGAAAACACTTTTTCTTATTAATTTTGGTGCGTAGAATCCAAAACAATTCGTACTTTTTCGATTAGACTTCTCAATCAAAAGTTATGGACTAGAAACCAATTGCGAAAGAAAATTCAAAGGGCTGTAACTTTTGAACTAGTAGCCCAATCTTGGAACTGTTTGAAATTATGGATTCTACAGGCCACATTCTATAAGAAAATTTTTTTCCGGGTCGATCTGAGACAATTTTTTTTTCGGGGTCAAAAAAAGGCAGTGTATAACCTTCCTTTTTTACCAAAAATCGACTACACCAAAATTTCTCGGGAAAACACTTTTTCTTATTAATTTTGGCGCGTAGAATCCAAAACAATTCGTACTTTTTCGATCAGACTTCTCAATCAAAAGTTATAGACTAGAAACCAATTTCGAAAGAAAATTCAAAGGCCTGTAACTTTTGATCCAGTAGCCCAAGAGAATAAGTGCTTACACATAGACAAGAAGTGGACAAATGAAATGAATTCGATGTTCCGGTTGTCTTAGCGTCAGGGTTACCAACGTTTACTTCATACGTATCGCTTAAATATCCCCTGGAAATCGCCCAAAATCGCAAAATACGATTGTTATTAATGCATTGTATTAAGCCAAAATAAAAGGTTGAGTTTTGTACTACTTCTTTCAACAACCCCCCTCACTCCCCTCGAAAAAAGAAAGACAACCCTTAATTCTAGCACCTCCCAAAGCAAATTTCTGATTGCGCCATTGAACTGTAACCTGTAAAGTACGGGAACTTGCCCAAAAGTGACTACAAGTTCTAGTTATCTTAAAACGGTCTTTATCAGATGAAATAAGGCTCTCACGTATATTTGTTTGTTTGGAGGACATCTACGTCGAATTTATGTATGATTAAGCTTTCCCATACCGGCAAACTGCTGTTTAGCGCATTTTTTAAGAATTAAAAAAATGAGCTATTGTTTGTGTTTTGTCTGTCCGTCCGTCCGGACCCACTTCTGCCGTTTCGAACTACTTCTAGAGGAATGGTCCTAGAGTCCTGGAATTTTTTGCACTAGGTAGCTTATACCTTGAAGGTATGCCAGACGGCCATCAAATTTCGCGGTAGCCCCCCCCCCCCGAATTTATTTCCTGAGATGCTGTTTTTGAAAGTAAAACGTGCATAACTTTTACATACGACGAAGTCCACAATAACTCCCGCTATTTCGAAGAATGCCATCCACGATCCGAACCGGAACACTCTTAAAAAAGTTAAGATACCAAACCTAACTTTGCCGACAGCAATCCCCACAATATTACACAGATTGTCAAGCCTCGAGAAACCACGCCTCGTTTGCGCCACATATCGTTTTTCCCGCCACAAAGGTAAGATGTAAAGATTGTCCTCAATTGTGCAATGTGGGGAAAACGGCATTCCAGCATGTTAAAATGATTTCTTATTTCGGTTATCTAATCCCCCCCCCCTCGGTTACCATACCTGGAAAGTGCTTCTGACATAAGTAGGTATATTGCACTCGAAAATGCGCTTCAAGCAAAACCCGAAAAGTAGTCGCCTAGTGCGACGACAGACCCTTCCTTGTTTAGTCGCTTTTTACGACACGTACGCAGTGATCTTGTGGTAAGGTTTTTCTGTTCCGTACCTCCACGAGTAAAATTTTGAAATAAACAATCATACTAAAACACAGAAAATTATCAAAGTTCTCGTGTGAGATCGAAGGGACTTCAGCGCATTTTTGTGTGGAAGATCAGTATTCTATTAGCCACTTTTGACTCAACCATCAATAAAAGATCTTGTCGCAAGCTACCACATTCGCTTTGTCGCCGCTTCCAACTTTCCGCGTGCACCCGCAATTCACGTTTAAAGTTTTGACTCCACCCTCGGTAAAATCTTGTCGGGGGCTACCATATTCCCTTTGTTGATATCCACTTCCGATGTCCCGTTCCCTTCCAATGCGCGGTTGAAGATCTTGTCGAAGGCTACCACATTTCCTTTTTCGGTGCATACTTGCACATTTTGGTGGATTTCGCTAAAAACCTTCCACAAGATAGTACTTAATTTTTGGGGCACTTCTCATTACTCAAGCTTCTATTGGAGACACGAGAAAGAGAGACAACGATTGTTAAACCGCGTGACAACATTCGTAACGGAAGGTAAAAGGTGCCAGAAGTTGACTACCTCTCGAAGACGCGCGCGCCCACCTTGAAAAAGGTCGTTAATTTCGCCCCTAGGACAAAAAACAAAATTCCGCCGCGCAGGATTTATGCGCGTTTACAACATCTTTCCGACGACACCAATTTGAAAATAATCGGACCAAAACTGTAGAAGAAGATAGGAAAAAACTGAAAAACCTTCACGTTCGAGGATGACGCCGGATGTTGCCAACTCCACATCATGTAGCCCTGTCCCTAAGATTGATAAATTACACGACCTTGTAGATACACGTACACCCGTTGCCTTTCTACAAGAGTTCTTCTACGCGCCCACATTTGCTGCCAGTCAGCCAAAATGAGATTAAACGCTACTTTTTACAAATAAATTTGCAAAAAATCGCTAAACAACGACAAAATGCATCAAAGAGCTGAAAAGCGTTGTCTCTCAGTCAGATGCGGAAAAGATTTACATTTGATATAGAGTTCAGACACAATACGAGTTACGACTAAGCAAATCTAGAACTGAGCTGCACTAGCTCCAGATGTCGCAGAGTATAATATAAGAGTTGGGGAGATATGGTGCCTTTTCAAGAAGGCAGGAATAGCAGAAAATATCTGGAAAGTGACCAAACGGAAAAGACCCTACGACAGCATGCGTGGTGCAATTGGGACGACTCAGCAGTCAAAGCGGCGATAAAAAAGGACGTTATCCCCAACTCCCACCACAAGAAGTACCTTGCAACAGGCTTTCACAAACCATCTGAACAAGCGTATAATATTTAGCCAGAACGACTTCCAACATCATCAGACAGAAGTAAGTAGGTAGAATATATTCAAAGAATTTTCAGCTAGATATTGCCTCAGCCCGTGAAGGTTGAAAATCCAAAATATATACACCAATTTGTCTGGAAGAAAAGGAAGACCACATAAGAAAGGGGAGGTCCACCATCACGGCGCTAAATTAGCGGATATCCAAGGTGGAGGCCGTAGGGAAGCACAAGAGGCTGGAAATCGTAATACTTTTACACCTCAAGAGTGTTCACCACAAGCTAGCAAATAATAAAGAATCGGCTCCTCATGTTGTCTTTGAAAATTGAGTCATTTTGATCATCTTGGCACGAACATTATGGGAAGTGCTTCTAAGTTGAGAACGCCAGGGGGGGGGGGTTATTTTGTACCCCAATGACAAGTGGAGTACAACAAAGGAAAACACAAATTGTTCTCCCACTTTATCCTGTATCAGGTTAGGGATTCGGCGCGGAATAACTTCAAGAACCCCCGAAATACGCGATGAAGAGCGCCGATTCGGGGAAAACAGCGAATTTTCCAAAAACGTGATAATACTGCACAAATGAGTAAGACCAAACCTACGGAGTATTTCACTAGTAGGACCAAACAGACAATAAAATGTTTTAATTGCACCTCAACGGGTCACTGCACTTCGAACTGCCCAAGGTGTTAAACTTTGTTTCAAGTCAACATTTTGAAGACAAATAAAAGTAAATGTTGGAAATTTCAACGTCCTCATCGATGCAGTGTGTACAATTAAAGGAAGCAGTGAGCAAGACAAAGAAAATGTTAACTGCGAGGACGTCAAGTGTTATATGGTTTCAGCAGTGAATCGGCAGAATCTTTAAAATAGACGAAACATCAAATCGTGTGAAAATGATGTAAAAGTGGAATATGACAATCAAATTGTAGCTGTACCAGTAGCTAACCCTGCTAAAGAAAAAGGGATTGTAAAACAAATAAGTGTGGTAGGCGTTATAAAACGTAATCTGGAAGAATACTAGAAACTGTAGACAGATGAAAAAGTGGATACTATGACAGACATGTTAAAAAGTAGTTCTATACGGCGACAGTGGTGTCCATGTCCAAAATGATTACGTTATATTAGAGTGGTAAAAGACGCATAATTGAGGTAGGAGAGTCCATTTTGATACTCGTGCAACCCTCCATCTGCGCTGTAAATTATATTAGAATGTGAAAAGCGACCCCATTGAAGAATACACCTAAAAAAGGACAAGGTAAGAAATATTAATTTATTTGTTAAGGTTTAGCAGGTACACGTAAAAAGTTGCAAATGATACAATCCTACGGGTGGAACACAATACAGTAGTGTTTAATGCAGATCGATCGATACAGAAGAAGACAGTAGATGCTAACATTGAATATATTAAAATAACATAAAAATTACATTCTCTATTAACTCTTTCTATTTACATGTTGATCTTTATCAGATCAATTCAAAAAGTTACAGTCTTTTTCGCTTATAATTTACCATTAGATGAAATTAGTTTTGTATTAACAATACACACAGTAACAATGACGAATGTAACAAAATAATTACAAAAGAATTAAGTCGAGTATTTAAGAAAGTTGTTTCCTCGTCTAGGAACTGCTACGATACACTTCTAATTAAAACTATTTATAAAATGTACAAATATTTATACAGCATTCTTGTCACTGCTTGTTAGAAGAGACTTTTGATTTGGCAACAGTTAATATAACAGATTGTAGTATATATCTCACTATCACTCGGCGTGTACGAAGTACGAATTAAAGGTTCCAGCAGCGACGATTGTTAAATTGACTCAATATGAATTATAATATCTACCTAATTATGTACAAACCTATGTACTGATGTCACAAATCACAGCACACTTTTATTTAACACAAAATTAACGTACACTGTAATATTATCTTGGTCTCTCATTTAATATATTAATATATTAATAAATAATTTTCTAATGGAAGTATCTGCTATCAGTCTGGGTAAACACTAAGTGTACTATTTTATCAATTCTACACTGATGCCTCTCTGTAGTACGGATTCACACCTTTGATCGGGAGCGGATGTGCTTCGGTGTTGAATACCCATTGATCCAGTGAAATTAGCGTATCATCAGAGTATAATAAGTACAGATACTAAAATAAAAGACTCATTGTGTTAACTTAGCTCAATTCAATGATGGAAAGGTAAAAAGAAGGGACTAAAGTCATTTCGTCCTATACCAGAAAGAAGAAAATGTATAAATTAAAACAGTAACAAACCTTCAACGTTTCTGCTAAAAAGAAACTTTGCTGAACATCATCTTGTAAAGGTTCATCCGTGTCAACGTTTTTCAAGCCCGTGTATCCACCCGGTACTCTGCAATGTTTTTCTAAAGCCTGTCAATATGCACGCAATTAAATTAAATACTAAACGCTGATTATACTCCACCTCTACTGCTTGCCAACCCCAATCCCGATACTTTTGATCCTTGGTTAACCTATACATGTAAAAATAAGATTCTATAACTTCCGGCCTTAAAATATAATATTTTTCTGAACTTTTTAGCGCTCGAGCTTCCACTCCTCCAGTGAACCTAAAAGACTCGGGTCCTAATTTCGTCTGAGATCTCGCGTAAGATTCATGGCACGTGTTTGTAATTTTATCGGCAATATCCATGTATTTATCTGACATTTCGTTCTTTAAACTTTTGGAAGCTAGCGCTAAAAGGCCGCCTGTAATAATCGGAGTCAAAATCTGAATTCAAACGGATATCATTAGTTAGTACCAGAAAAACAACCAAGATGGTCCATTTTGTGCTCGGGTCTGTCGAACTTAAGTTCGGCGAAGTACGTGAGCCCACTTGAAGAGGTATGGAGCATATGTTGCATGACAGCTTGCATGGCATCGTCAAACATTTGACGTGCTTCGTTGTCCTCCTTATTAGATTGCATCCACGCCTTTAAGAGGTACTCGTAGAAACTATCGCCCAAAGCGCCCATTGAGATGTGGTCTGTTGAGAGTATGTATCTAGCAGTATTACACGGGAAAGTACTTACGTTGTCCCCATTTTCCCGTTTTCGGATTTAAATAATTCGGATACAAGCCTTTCGGTTTTTCCATGCTTCTGATGTGCTGCCTGATGTGATCAACTTTGCTGCGATATATCGGATTTCCCGTTACGTCACTGAGGTATGCGAATTCGAGATGAAGCGTGCCGAATTCAGATAAAATACTAGACCCTCCACTCGCCCAACCATAATTTTTGCTACTCTGTAAGGTTAATCGGGGTAAATAACGCGAGTCGTTGAAATTTGAGGGAACCTACTCCCGTCCTAAAGTTGACTAGAGCGTTAGGGATCCCCGTAGGAGTCTGGAATGCAGGTAGCAGCTTATCGGCGATTTCTTGCGCTTTGTCTCTGAATAAGACGTCGCCGGTTAACGCGTAACATGAGAGTAATCCGCCAACAAATCTAATATTGACCTCGAAGACGGAAACATCTGAGGCCTAAAACATTCATTGGGCAAATTATAAATCAAATAAAATTGAAAACACGTTTAAAAAATGTAATGTCGAAAAATGTGCCCTTTTTAGGAAATACGTAATGAATTTGAGTTAATTCCACAAAAAATGATTGTACCCCGCGCAAGAACAGTTCGAATGTGCAGAATGTGAAAAGTACGTAGTGTTCGAAAAAATACTCACCAAACTATCAATGTTAAGTTCGTTAGCAACCCAGTCTCTTCCTTTTTTGAATTCATCCTGTAGACCCATTATATACAAAGTATCCAAACCGTCCAAAATCGTTGCTCCAACGGGCATGGTACCAAAAATGCTGGCACTGTGAGCGCGCTTTGTAATTGGTCGAAGTTCATTCTTGCCCCATGCGTACTTGACGTAATTGTCCCATGCGTGTTTCATCATCTGAAAAAGAAGAAAATCGTCGTTAACTTTCATCTGAGGAAGAACAAAATCGTCGTTTAAAAAAAGATCTTTTATCGACTTGATGGCGCCCCGATGTCTGAAATACTAACTACGGTAATTTAGAAATACTTTCGTAATTTTGCACTTTTTGCTATTTTTTGGTACTTTTCGATACTTTGTGGTAATTTTTCGAAATTTAGAATTTTTCTACTGGTAACTGAATAAAATACACACTACTGAGTACCTAACAATTAATGCTAGAACATCGTGGGTAATGAATAAAATAAATAGTATTTCAAACCAATATACACGGTGTCCATTTTTCGAGTGCCACTATGGGGATCTCACTTATCTTAAGAGATAGAAAGTTCGTTAAAAGGGGGTAAAGTTGCAAATTTCCGTGCTGAATAAGAATCTGAAAAGAAATTTGAAATATCTTCAATACTTTTGAAGATATGACAAAAAAACGAAAATTTCTGATTTTCGTTTTTAATTTTTTTATGATAAACTAGTCGTAGTAGACATTTCTAATTAGCACATTATTCGGACACTTTTTAATGGAGATTTCAAATATGGCATCCTGTTTTTAATTACGTTCAAGATGACGGCGAAACACGTGGCAACTTTAGTTCTTCTTATGGGCGCCATATTGAATTTTGCATTTTGGGATTACGTCTTTTTTTCTCTTTACAACGATATATCACACATACTGGTTCAGTATCACATTTTTCCTAAAATACAATTTTTCATTTTTTGAAAAGAGTGCTTTGGAAAAACAAAACGTTCTTTTGTTGTCAACAAAAGTTTGACAGTTTGATCCATCTGTCTGGTTGCAGCGTTGTCAGCGAAGTAGAAATTCGATTTTCATCTCAACCGCTTGCAAAATTGCCTGCTCATATTCATTGGGTCTATCACCATATTGCTGTCTACATCTTTTAAAAGAACCATATTCGCCCAAGTTTTTATGCAGCAAAGAAAAATACCTCAAACTAGGTTGTTGCCCCTCTGGATAACGCTGCAAGTATGTTGCAGCAGTCATGTGGGCATTTCGATGAGAAGTGTAGTAAATTTGGATCATATCTCTTTGATCTGTATTAGAAAAAGGCATTTTCGCAATACAACTAGCATAAACCTAAATGACACTACATGAAATAAGTCAACCTTTTGTTCACAATAAAAGAACGTTTTGTTTTTCCAAAGCACTCTTCTCAAAAAATTAAAAATTGTATTTTTAGGAAAAATGTGATACTGAATCACCATGTGTGATATATCGTTGTAAAGAGAAAAAAAGGCGTAATCTCAAAATGTGAAAATTCAAAATGGCGCCCATAAGAAAAACTAAAGTTGCCACGTGTTTCTCCATCATCTGGAGAGTTATTAAAAACAGGATGCCATATTTGAAATCTCCGTTAAAAAGTGTCCGAATAATGTGTTAATTAGAAATGTCTACTACGATTAGTTTATCATAAAAAAAATACAAACGAAAATCAGAAATTTTTGTTTTTTTGAGATATCTTCAAAACTATTGAAGATATTTGAAACGTCTTTTCAGATTCTTATTCAGCACGAAAATTGGCAACTTTGCCCCCATTTAACCAACTTTCTATCTCTTAAGATAAGTGAGATCCCCATAGTGGCACTCGAAAAATGGACACCGTGTAGACGAGCGACAAACACAGACGGGCGGACAGAAAGTTCAAAATTGAATCAATTAGTCTCTTGATAATTACTGAAAACAGAATTGCAAAATTCGAAACCGTTCGCGAGTTATTATATACACAGGCGGATGGACGGACGGACAGAAAGCCTAAAATGATACACGAACTAGGTCGCTCGTTAAGGATGACAGGTAGGTTTTCCGTTGCTGAGCGAATTTTAAAATGATATCCGTTTCCTCACACACTAAGTGTTAAGATTCACTCTCAGATTTACTCTATAGATAACAATAAACCTAGACAAAATCATAAGAAAATAGAGCGAGCAGCTGTCTACCAAATTCAAGTTTTATATTAAGTGTTTTTGAGTTATAGTGCGAACGACCCGACGGACCTCGGGACGGACTTCAGGTTTTATGACGCGTTGATAAAAAAAATATGAAATATCAATCGCGATTTTTCTTTTATAAATTTCTAAGTTGTGTAAACTACTACTAAATGATAAAACACCCTGTATCTGCATTTAAATTATTTTTAACGTTGAAAATTGGTTGTATTTTGAGATTGGGAACAAGATTCGATCATATAAGTTGAATGCGAGGTCAATTTTGTTTTGTACCATAGTTGTTAATTTTGTTTAAACAATTCTTTTATTTATTTGTTCAATTTTATTACGTGTTAAGACTAGATTTAAACATTTGGAAAAAATTGCTTAGGATTTGCAACAGTTTATCTCCGGTCGTAGATAAGAAGTTTTGTTCGCGGCGTAAGCTAATTAGTTTCAAGATAAGAAAACACAGGTGCAGTTTATCGTTCAATGACGCATTAATTTTTTAAGGAAGTGGAAGCGGAAGTTGACAAGAGAGGGAACTTGTTTTAAATAGAAGGGACGGATGTTAATCTTGGGTTGGATCCATCGTTCCTCGAAATGGGGGTTGAAATATATTGTGTGATCAAAACTCTCTAAACTAAACTATATGGGGAAGGTTTAGAGAGTTTTGATCACACTTTTGAAAACGTTAAGTTAGCCCCTCCACTTTTTACAAATTTTTTATGGCTTAACCGTAATGGCGCTAGCTTTAATTCAAGTGGCGCAATTGAGCTCATAACCAGATGTATCAAGTGGCACAAATACCGATAGCAAAATGCGTTATGGGGGATTCCGTTCACTTGCCCCCCCCCCAAATATATTTAAGGATATCCAAAAAACAATAATGGCGCAAAGATATCTTTTTACGGCGCATTTCAGCGCATACCTGAGAGTACAATTTCGTATGAAAAGATGTTAAAAAAAAGTAACTTTTAAAAACGTTAAGTTGCCCCCCCCCACTTTTTGAAAATTTGTCACGGCTTAACCGTAATGGCGCTAGCTTTAATTCAAGTGGCGCAATTGAGCGCATAACCAAATGTATCAGGTGACCTAGTTACAAGGGACAAAATACGTACTGGGGGGGGGCTACGTTCACTTGCCCCCCCCCCAGATGTTTTTTCGGATTTCTAAAAAACGATAATGGCGCAAGAGTTATTATCGGTGGCGCATATGAGCGCATAACGAGCGCATTTATTTCAAAATAATACGACTATGAAATCTCTCAGTGGGGGGGCCAAGTTAACGGACCCGTATTATTGCCTGAGCACCAAGATTACATCTCGAGACGCTTGCGCCGAGGGATGTAAGGTGCTAAGGCAATAATAGACTTCTCTACCGTGGTATATATACTATTTTTTTCACTACTAGCACTTGAAGTCCTCTAAATTCACAATTATATTGATAAGAAAGTGAACGGTTCGACAGAATTTTTTGTTTATTAATTTAACATGTCAATCAAGTACGTGGAAGTACAAGTCAAACAGGCCGTATTTTGTTCTGTCATTGAGATATTTTCAAAGAGTAATTTCGTTCGAATTTTTTCAAAATGTGATAATTTTAGGTATGTAATTTCTCGGGAAATGGCGGATGGTGGCAATTATTCATTTTAGAGAACTTGTCCAAACGTTTATTGAGCGAAATTTCGGGTTGTGTTTTCTAAAAGTGACAGCGTGAGCGTGACAATTCTAACTACTAGCTAATAATGTCCACATTATTAACCACTTTGAACAAACGCCGAGAAAGCCTACTTTACAAGTGGAAAAAAGGTTAATAATCATGTCATCAGACGCTAGTAGTGAAAAAAAGTTTTAAACAATCACATTATCAAGTAATCAGGGGCGCCATCTGAGGGCGGCAGGGGAGGGTCGTACGTAATAAAAATGTAATGTAGGTATGTCGCATGGACCGTATCTGTTTAGTATAACACATGCATATGTAAATGTACCTAGGTACATAGTAGGATAGTATATACACACTAGTAAGAATCCTGTGTTCTCATTTCATTTTGTCCCAGAAGAGGACAATGTACTTGCATTTTTAAATGTCCTGAAGATTCTAGTAGCATACTTAGAGCGTTGAGTGAAGGGTTAAATTACTCAATGTTTAGAGGTAATCAAATTATGATTTATGTAACCAAATTACTTCAGATATTTTCTACCTTTTCTACCTATTTACAACTTGAAATGAGTAAAGAACTACTTAAGAGCAAAGGCTGCTGATGAATGACTTTCCTCCCTGATGGTGACTGTGGAACGTCGTGAAGAAACTATAAACCTTAACCTCCGCCCACTTGTAAATGATTTTGCGTCTCTGAAATCACGACGGTACCCTTTACTACATTAAATGCTCAATATTGCCATTTGCTAAATTTGTATGTTTATATAGCAACAAAAAGAAAAGTACATATTTATTAATAATTAAAACTAGTATGTACTGCAAATAGTATATTGGGAGATAAGTGTATAATCAAGTCTTTAAAGCACACGCAACGAGTTTAAACGTTGCATGTACTTTAAAGACCAGTTATACACGTGTTTCTTATAGTATTTTTAGCGCATTTCCACAAAAATAAAAAAAAATGCGCTATTGTGGCCACTTTGTCCGTCCGTCCGTCCGTCCGTCCGTCCGTCCGCTCGTTTTGCGACGCTACTAGTTCTTTATCTTAAGAGCTATTGTTCTACTTTTTTTCGCTATTTGGTTCGTTATGGTGTCGAGTCTTGTACCAAGGAAGGAATTTTTTCTGTACCGCTTACAAAAAAAGTTATTGTAAAAAAACAAAAAACCGTTTTTTACATGTTCCATAATTTTACCCTTTTGCCGTTTATTAACGATCCTAGAGATCGTTTATAATTTTGCATTGCTATCTGTCGCCTGCCGGTTGGTCTCTCCGTCTGTTCCTTTGTCTGTCTGTCCCATCTATCTGTCCGTGTGAACGATAACTTTGTTTAGAAATGTTCGATCGCTTTTACATCTCCGTTAGTTATGAACTGAATTGCATGAAATTCAATATGGGCATAGCTTTAGCCATATAATACGCAATGCCAAAAGTTGAATCGAATCGATTCAAAATTCACAGTGCCCTTTTCGCATCTCGACCATTTATAAACCGAATTGCAACTTTTTTACTTATAAAAGTATTTGAATGAAATTTGATACATAGGCACTTGGAATAAAGGATAATCAAACGCCAATTTCAAAATTTGGTTTTGCGCATGCGCAGTGCCAACTTTTTTATTTATGGAAGAATTTAAACGAAATTTGATACATAGGCACTTGAATAAAGGAAAATCAAACGCCAATTTCAAAATTTGGTTTTGCGCATGCGCAGTGCCAACTTTTTTATTTATGGAAGAATTTAAACGAAATTTGATACATAGGCACTTGGGATAAAGGAAAATCAAACGCCAATTTCAAAATTTGGTTTTGCGCATGCGCAGTGCCAACTTTTTTATTTATGGAAGAATTTAAATGAAATGTGATACATAGGCACTTGGAATAAAGGAAAATCTAGCGCCAGTTTCAAAATTTTATTTTGCGCATGCGCCGTGCAACTTTTTTATCTATGGAACTATTTAAGTGAAATTTGATACTTAGGCGCTTGGAACAAAGGAAAATCTAACATTAGTTTTAAAATTTAGGTTTGCGCATGCGCAGTTCCAACTTTCTTATTTAGAAAAGCATTGAAATGAAATTCTTCTCATAAACTGAAATTGAAGTAGCACGTCAACAATGGATTGCCCATGTGCAACGCTATCTTTTATATTTGTGGCCGGATTTTTACGATTTTAACATCACAGATTAATCAGTTCAAACAGTTCAATCACAGATTAATCTGGGATTAATCTAGAATTAAACAATATTAAGTAATTCATGTAATAAGTAGATATTAAGACATCATTATTATGCATAGATAAAGCAGGTCAATTGAGTAAGGCATGAAAATGCAAATAATAGAATAATAGTATCGCTGAGCTAGGTAAACAAATGGTAGAACTAGGACAACAATTTTGTATATAAACGTGTAAATATTATGAATAAACCAGTATTATAGCTTAGGCTGTTCTTACTCATTTGGGGTGTAAGGTTCCAAGTCTACAATTTGACACAGTGACGGGTGCCGCCTTACAATCTACCCCAAAACTATCTTAATCTCATACCGAGATTAAACATGGTCCTTACAGCTGGACGGAAGTGGTACGGTTTACTCCTTTCCGTGGCAGGAATCAGTTTCCACTTAATGGCGCTGTTTCCCTTCTCTCTCCGTTTGCACGAACGTGCGTTATCTAAAACCATATGAATCTCTTACCCGCTGTTTCCTTTTTGTTACTTCTTTGCTATAAGGGTCGTAAATCCTTATAGAAGTTGCATCTTACAAATGGGAAATGAATGCAAGTGGAAATGCGCTTTATGTAAATCGTTTACGATTACTTTTTAACTTGTTTATTATACCTGCAATATAATTTAAAAATAAGGGAAATACAATGAAATCATACTGACGTTATACTCGAAGATATGTCTAATTAAGTGGCTGTGCCATAGCAATGTCATTTGACCTTTGCTTATAAAAATCACAGTTTTTGTGAATAAAATGATTTCTGTTGAAATAGCTATTTATATAGCAAATACATAAACTGGGTCTTTATGGACGAGCCGTTTATTTAGCCGAGCGAGCTTGCGAGTCCCCTTAAAGCCTATTTATGGACGCGATATATACAAAGCTTTATGTACGACTGCAACTACCCTTAAAAATGAAAATTTCATGGAATTCAATTAACCATAAAATTTATATATCATTGACAACAGATGTCAAGCATTTGTCAAGTATTTCTAAAATACTTGAATTTACCTTGGATTGACATCTAAGTACGACTGTCACATTGACAGGCGGCCGTTTTACTTTATCATTATGGACTAGGCCATAATATTGCAAATTATGGCCACTAATTGCGACTGTAATCACCGCATTATCAAGTAGTCGTACGTAAAAGACATTACACCGTCCATTAAATGGCTTGTTGTAAAATCTAAAGAAAAGTTGGTAGGTGTAAGATCCAAATCCAGTAAAGTCTACTATAATTTATAAAGAATATGAAAAGTTGTTTTCGTGGATGAATAGGAAGCTACTTACGAACAGCATCGATAATGCTAACATATATGACGGAAATGTGAAAGGTATTTAAATCTTCTATCCTTTGGTGCATTCATTCAAAACTTCAAACAATGCTGCGATTAAAAAGTGGAACAGTTTTGGCAGCATACCCTAAATTACGCGTGGGTTATCGACAATATACTCGTTTTGGAGCCTGAAAACGAAAATGACAGAATTTGATTAGGAAATTCCGGGTTCTATCAACAAAATCTGTCCCTCTCTGTACAGTTTCTATTATTCGCACACAGACAAGGAGTAGGCAGGTATCTTGAAATTAAAATTACAGTAGGTATAGGCCCGGTATAGACAGTCAAAACCTTCATGTAATATATCATAAGTTGCATCGCTTAGCGCTAGTCGAGATGAAATTGCTGGCGCCCCTGCAATTGCAAGTAATGCGCCGATAATCTTAGCTAAGCAGAAATGATGCAATTACAAATCAAAATATCTATTCGATATATTTACGGTCACATCTTTATTATAACATGGTTTTAAATTCAAAAACAAAATAGGTTTGACTTACGAGTTGTTACTTGTTAGGTGATGAATTTGGTATATTTTTCGGCCTGCGCAGATGCCAAAGGACACGGATTTTCACGACAAAGCATACCAGATAGTTGGCGTGGTTATTAGATTCCTATGGCTTCAGCACGCGTACCCTTTTTTTCAATGTTTATTTGGTTTGTTTGTACTTACAGATAGTAAAAATTTGATTCATTCTCGTTCTTAGAGCATGTTTGAAGTGCCCTAAGCTTTATTTTATATGTACCGTTACTCCATCATGTTTGTTTATTATACTGTATAGGTGGTTATACCTACATATAGTTTTATTACGTAGCTATTTATACATTCATGTGGAAGTATATGTACATGTTCTCCGTCTCGTGCCCGCTACCGGACGAACTTCTGTTTTATTTTCTGTGGTTCTGTTTGTGATACTGATAAGTAATCGACTGCTGGCATCTTCACATGTACTTTTTCGTGTTAAATTAATGTAGCCAATGCTAGAGTAGAACATGGTATCTTTTGATGTTTTTCATAAACGTACAATTTATCATTTTACCAGTTGTTTTGTCTGAATTAATGGTAGATGTCTTTTTATACTCAATTGGGCGCTCTGTATGGAAATTGTAAAGGTTGACACCTACCGTGAATGTTACACATCAACACCACCTAAACCTGCTTAGCCCGAACTTCAATTTTAAAAAAATCAGTGTGTCTCTAGGTACAACATCGTCACAAGTAAACCGCCGTTGAAAACCTTTTAACTTTTAATTAAAACTATTCACTGAAAACTACCTTGGCATGGGCCGCGGTCAGTATTGCTCTAAAACATTCAGCAGTTGGTCAGATTCATATAATTATTACGTGGCGAACAATGTTTTGGAATAAGTCGTTTCCGGTAGAATGTGCCACAACGACGCCATTATATTACACACACTAATACTAATTCTTCTTAAACTTTCTCCAATGCTGGCTGGTAGCTAGCAATGTATAGGTTTATTGAAGTATGACTAAAGATGGCACGTTTTTTCAATAAAAATGATGAATCATATTTAAATTGCGAAATGTTGACATGAACAAAATGGCTGTAACCTGAAGTGAAAATCTATTTTCCGTTTGAGATATACGTAGTTGTCGTTGTCCTAATGTTCTAGTAGGTACTGTCGCTGTTTGTGAGAAATAAAATTTGATTTTTGTTTACACAACACAACAAATCCCTTAAATAAACGTTTTCAAGGGAATATTTACTTTGTACTTTTCCGATAATGTCATAACGAATTGTGATTTACTTTTTTACTCGTCGATAAAAGACGAAGTCACTTTAGGGAACAAAGCTTAAGTTCGCAATAGAAACCTGTATTATTCAAAAGGAAGACCTCAGGCAAAGAAAAATCTGCTTCTTTGCTTTTGTTGATTTCCAATTTCTGGTTTAAATTTATCGATGTTTTCAACAAAGCAAAATTCAATGTCGCGAATTGCGTTAGCCGTAGATTATTTACATTTTGCAATACTTTCCAGTTCGATTTCGTTACCGCGGATATATAAGAAAAAAGGCCGCATACCTCTCGCACTCTGTCCCTTCGTTCCAGGGTTGTATCGTTTCCATCCTCCGCCGAATAAAGCGAAATATTCCAATCGTTGTAGTCGTCATTTAGTTCTTCGACGATCGTTAGCGTGGTGGCTGGATACTGATGTTTCGAAAAATAAACGCCGGTCCAAGCGATTACGACCACGGCAGATAAAATACCCGAAGTTGCCGCTTTTGACATGGTTTATCACAATTGACACACAAACAAAAATTTAAAATAATTACTTCGTTTTGCCCGCCATTGCAGCGCAAAGTAAAGTTCAGCGGTGGTCGATACACTATGGAATGATATTAGGACCCATTTATAGATAATTAATTTATCGTTGTAGTAGTTTACAACAACGATAAGAAGATCAGGCGAGTTATATTTACTTATACATTTTTATAGTTCACGCAGTTATGGCGAATGGTGCGCATATGTGACAGTAAAAAATACACCAAGTGCGGTAGCCAATGAAAAACAGGATAATTTGATAATTCCTGCGCTAAATTATAAATTTTGCAGTTTCGAAAGTAAAGTATAAAAAGTCCCATAAAAATTACGATGGGAGGCAGTTGAACTTAATGATCTAGCTAGGAAAACCTATTGCCAACATTCGATCGGTTGATGGTGTGCAAACAATATGGGAGTAAATATGATCACTCAGCAAACAATGGTGTCAGTAGAGGTCAAATAATTTTTGTGTTCGATACACGTGCTCACATTTGCCATCAGAAATGTAGGACACGCATGATTCGCGTTTACCATAACAAAAAGTAGTACTTTTCAAAATAAATTCTTCGAGCAAGTTCCGTCCGAAATTAAACCACCTGAAAACTGGTTTCGACGGTTAGTTATTTAACTCACTGTGTGTATACCATGTGTTCCAAAAATACTGGAATTTTAGTATTGTAGTATTGAATTGGCGATATGTCATAAAATAAACCAGTGACACCGTTAATTTTCTGCGCTTTTCATTAATTTTAAGCGCATTTTCTGTCACTTATGTAGGTGCCTAGTAAGCATTTTCAACACTATTTGCACCACCCCTACAGGTTAACCGGACTATCGAACCGACCGCAACGATATCCAACTCTCCATCGTTTGGGCTAGAATTTATTGGCTTTATATGCCATGCTATGTTTCTCGAGAGGCGTGGAGTTGTCTGAGCCCTTCATTTTCGGTGTACTTACGGACTAGCGATAAATGACAGTACTCAAGACCGAAAGTCCACGGGAACGCGGAACTGATATTAGGCGATGTAATGTTCTGCATTTTTCAGAACCAAAATTTGAAGTACCAGTAAAACATTCTGTGATTCACCAACCAACCAAAGTCGAGGCTTCTTTCTAACGTCACTGTCAGCTGTTTACAACTGCCCTAAAATTAATTAAAAGGTAATCAAATTAAAGCTAATTACAAGAGAAGCAAGCAAAAGGAGATAACGAATCCCTCCAGTTAAATACGAGGCTAAATCTGTATACGCTTTTACGCACTATATGGATTTCAATGCTAATTTCTTTAAGTATATCGAAATATTTTCTCCCCTAATTATTTTAAAGCAAAGTTGTCAATAGGTTTCTTGTAGTTTAAAAAATTCTGAGTCTGCTCATGTCTTCATTTATTATTTTTCAATTCAAGAAACCAGAAGAAATAAGTAAATTAGAATTTAGGGTTTGCACAAAAATGGAATTTTTGTTTCAATAATTTCACGGCAAGAGTGATTGTTTTGCTAAAATCACTCGTGCCGTCAAATAATCTAAACGAAAATTCGATTTATAATTTCCTTAATTTCTCCAATTTCCCACAACAAAAAATTACACAGTGGCACATGAATAGACGCATAATTTTACAATCTACAAAAAAAATATTTACAACTGCTGTAAAATAATTAGTTGAAACAATCTTTCAATATACAGAAATTGCCATTGAAATCCCTATGGTGCGTAGGTAAACTGTTTCTACACTCCGTATATAAAACAAAGTCGTGTATGTTACACCACTTATAACTCAAGAACGGCTGGACCGATTTTCATGATCTTTGATTTGTTAGATTTGTCTCCGACCCGAATAGAAAAAGAACTGTTAGAATATCGAAGAAAAGACCCTAAACTAGCATCTGCGTACAGCTCCTGTAGATTTCTTATGTGCTGGTACCAGAAAGTCAAGTAGGCGTGTGTTAACTGATAATACTTTCAAATATTTACAATGTGCACAGTGTGATTTTGCAACACATCAACGCGATGTCCCGAAACGACATCTCTTAACTCACAAAACTTCAAAGGATTTAAGATGTGCAATAATAGCTTTATATGAAAATGTGCCCATATACAAGGTGTTACGTATAAGTATGTAAAAAACAATTGGGTGGTAGAGGGGATCAAGGCAAGTACTTTTTCCAAATAAACCGAGGGTCCAACGTGTTTCGTTTGGGAGCCACCCCCACAATAGTAGTGAAATTTGCATTTCTTCTTTAATTTTTTTTCTCGGCAACCATAAGAGTTAGAAAGACTGGTGGCACAAACAATTATGAAATTAGTTTTTGAACATTCGAAAAAATTCCACTGCAATCGAAGAACGAAAATGGAGAGAATTCTACGAAATTTCCAGATTGGGCCTTCGGGTTACAAAGTGTCCCCCGCCTGCTAGTGAGTAGTGAGTGATCAAATTTCGCATGTAGTTCATTGAAAATCTCGCAAATAAAAAAATAACGATTTAAGTCGATCAATTTTTGTTTACATACTTATATGTAACACCCTGTACACGAGATTCGCCGGGATATGCGTCTCTTATGCCTGTATAAACCGTTCATCCGATTGCGATGACACTTTGCCTTTTGGGGAATGGGTAGGCCCGCGTAAGTTTCCGAGTTAGTAAAACACTTTCCAATATTCCGGGAACAGGAAAAAACAGGATTTTATGTTTTACAATCGAAAAGAGACTTGACATTTAATACGTAGGTTTTTTTGAACGCGTGTACTCGTAAAGAAATTCCCGAGGAAATTCCGAAGTTCCCACGGGAACGGGGTATTGAAAGAAACGGGCTTTTCCAAAGGCGGTACGAAGTTAGACGGGACTGCTAGTTTAATATAAATTACGTTAGCAGTACTACTCGTAAATATCATCTCTCATTAAATTCATTAATGTTAATTAAAAAGAATTTACCTTGTAGTGAAGTATTCCGATAGTGGGTTCGCACCGAATATACTTAGCAAATGCTTCTAAACCGCACCTTTTCTAACTAAACGCACTCCTTTTTATTAAGCAAGTCAGTTACAATGAAATATTTTTACACTCCCCCCCTCGAGCGCTTTCTTTACAAGTTAAATATCCATCCAAGAACATAAAATAATAAACGAAATTTTTCGCCTTTATTGCTTTAGTCTCATAACCGAATTCTGTTTTATGCCCCACATCATAAATTATTTATTTTTGTGTCTAAGATAGTAAGCGCTAACTCTGTTTTGTTAAAAAAACGGGTTTATAAGGAAAAGGGCACGTTACGCATATTAGTAATAACTAATAACGACGGTTAAACATAAATGGGCGTCATTAGCATTATTGACGTTTTCAAGTTGGACACTGTTATAAAGAAGTCTGATAGTATAGCGACCAATCTTAAAACAGGGAAAGTAACAAAAAATTTACAACCGGTATTATAAACCATACTTATCTATGTTGTCAACCTAATAATGTTGTTAAGGCAATGATAAGGTGTTTTTCAAAGAGTGATGTTATTCTTTGAAAAAACATCCAATCACATGCCTTAACAACATTGTTAGCTGACAAACTGCCCAGATTTCAACAACAAACTTAATTCCCATTGTAGGAGATGTGATTATAACAATATTTTCGTACTTCCGAGACTAAAGTGACAACTTCACTCCATTATGACAAGTACTGAAGTGTCACTTTTTGTCCCGCCGGGATTAAATTTGACGAAAATCCCGGAAGGATGAAATTACTAACAAAGCAATTTCAGTAGGTTGTTCCACATTTTGTATGCGGCACTATTTCTTAAACGCATCGGTACTGCTGTTCATATAGTTTTTTTGATTTCGGTGGTATCAATTCATTACCTAGTTTGACTGCTTTTTATCAATATCAAATACACCTTTGTCACCCACCACCAAAATTATGACACTAGCAATGACAGTTCTTATGGTAACTTGTTAAGCAGCGATTTTTGAAAGAACGCGTTCTCTAACTATACATATTAAGTGTTTCAGTTTCGGAAGTACGAAAAATATCGTATATACCTTGCGACCGAGCTTGCGACTGAAGTAGTGGTCTTAATCCCTCAGGTAAATTATGGCCCGACCGAACTTTCGGGATTAAAAGTACTACTTCAGTCCCGCGGTATATAATATACTATTTGTGCAACTGCTCACTGGGGATTTTTTCCTGTTATACTCAATAATAACTTATAACACCGTTCCTGTACAACGTAACGGTACCTAGATCTTCGGATTTCGACCTATTTAATGTCACAAGAAAAATTTCGTAGTATGTACAGGGTTAGTTGGGTTTGTTTCTTTTTAAGCTGTCAGCAAGTATTGAATACCTTTAAGAACTAATGTAAAAAAGAAGTTAAAAAAATCCAAATATTGATATAGTCTTAAAGGATTCAATCAATTTTAAATTTCTGCTATTAAATGTAATTTGTAATTTTAAGAGCCCATTGAATTTGCTTTCGATATCGTAATTAGTTACTTGTTTCAAAGAGTTTACTTCAGAATTGCAATAAATAAATCTGCCAAATCCAAGGGTTCATTTATTACTGATTTTCTCACAAAATGTGAATAAAATGATTGTATATCTATGTATTGTTCAAAAATGGGGAATATACTCGGGAATATACCTACTTGTACAGAAGTCCTGTACAAAGGAAAATGCATGTGGGAAATATTTGAATTACAGTTTTAGTTCAAAATTTCAAAACTTTGTTAAACGAAGAGAATTTCAACACTTTATGCTACAAAGCCTGTTGCAAATACTCCTGGGGAGAAAATAAGAACTTGCAACAATTTGACACATTTTATCTCTGTTGAATATTTTTGTCAAATATCGCTTTCTTTTTTTAGATAATGTGAACGGATAACTGGCGCTATTCGAAACCAATAGTCCAGTCAAATTATCTGCACCTTGCATCAGATGTGTCATTTCTATTTTTTTTTTTAATTGTTAGGGTGAGTATGGAGGTCAAAAATCCAAGTTTTCGACATCCAAAGACCTGTGCAAGTAACGCAGCACTCGAAAATACGCAATTTTTTCTATTATTTTTAGGTTTTGGTTAGTTTTAATTTTAGTTCTGAAGGACAGATTTTAAAGCAATTACTGTCG